ATATAACTATATATGATTAATAACATATATAATTAGGATAAGAAAATAATTTATCCACTGTTGAATATACTATCTAGATGTCTCCAGTTGTTTGAAGATATTATACATATATATATATATATATGCAAAAGACTGCTGTAAAGATTAGATGCTACATTTAGCAAGAAATCTATAATGATGATATATGTATTCGGTCAACTATATACTAAATCTTCTATTTTTTTTGATTCAAATGAAAGATCATATCGAGAAACTTTTAAATCTAGAATATTAGACCTTTTTGACGTACCTAGAATAAATACCGAAGACCAGAATTCTCATCTTTTTCGATCTATATCATAAAAACTAAAAAAAATAATATTTTTCGTAATCTGATGATATTTTGATATTTTCTCTCCGTCTACTCATCGCTTTGAGTTAGGCTCCGTCTCAAATGATGTATAAAAGAGCTTTCTATAAAATGGCTTATCTCAGTAATTATTAAAATCATTTGTAGTAGGTGATAGAGTCTTTACAAGGATGCGATTCTGAATGTGAACACTTTTTTGTGGTCGTGACTGTATAATTTGCTCCTAGTACTGTGAACATTATAGGGGACGCCGTTAAATTGTGAACTAACACGATATGCTTCATTGACTAGGTTTGTGATTGGTATAGAGAGAAACAGAAAAAAAACGATTGCAATCTCGTCGATACACAATTGCATTGTATTACTTGTTGTATGATAATGTTAAATTATTAAATATGACAACTCATCGTGAACTGTGTTTAGAAGAAAAAACACACCTTATAAAAGAGAAAGATAATGGACTTTCTTATCGACAATTAAATGATAAATTTCAAATATTTAAAAAAAAAAACTCAAAAATGAATTTAATCAACAGTAAAAGATTAAAAATGTGATTTAAATAGGAAAAAACGTTTTCTTTGCATAAACCTTCTTCTATCTAATCATTCTGTCAATATGAATGATTTATGAAAGTCTCAGTAGTGTTCAGAATAGAGGGGTTTTACTGTATTTTATTTGATGACATGTATCAAAGAGATGGTACTTGGCTATCGAATGATTTTATGGTTGATCCCGTATCATTAGCTTTAACGTTTACTCAATTAGCGATAGTTAAAGGTAATGGCCTGTATTTTTTTCTATATGAAAATATTTAACTATTTGTTTATATTTTAAGTGGGTACGAAAACTTGGATTTCAAACTTCACCAAGTATACGAATTCTCACTCAAGCATGCAGTAATTTATAAATTGAATTTTATTTTGAAAATTATCTAATAAAATTATCATGTAAAATATATATGATTAAAATTGGTGTTCTAGATACATTTCATTTTTCACTCTCACCCGATAATTGCGTTGATTTTCGTAGGTTATTATCATTTTTTTCATCACATATTTATACTTATTTTCTAGATTGGATATTAAGTAATACTATCAAACGATTTCCTATTCTGGCTGAAAGTGAATGTGAAACATTAATTACTGACGCTGATAGTTTTATACCGAATGGCCGATTAATAATGAATGAATCAGCTGAAGTTAGTTGTTTAGCCATTGAATAGAAATACTTTATAAAATAAAGAAATCTTTAGTTTGATAAGTATTTCGTTGCATCTGATTCTAATGGCACATGGTATAGCACTTGCTGGCGGTCCTTATGGCAAAGTACTTGGTTACGAACGTCCACTATTTTTTAAACCAGATGAAGCAGGAAAAAGTACTTTGAAATTAAAAGAAAATGTTTTTTTTAATTTCTTCTTTTTGTAATACAGAAGATTTTGAAGATTTAAGTAAACAAGGTATATCTGGTAAAGCACGATGGTTTAATACAGTTGAAAAAAATATAATGCATATGACATCATTTACAAAATATGAATTAAAATCAGTAAATCGATTTGTCGTGAATTTCTTTCAAATGCTTTGTGCAAATAATATTGATAAGCCAATTGGTACTGTTGTTCATACAGGAATGTTAAATGAACAAGTTGGTTATGAAAATATCAGTAGGATACAATATTTTTGTGTTCTTGTTAGTTTTCTTTTGGTTAGTCCAACTTCACAATCAACTCGTAATATGAAATGACTTAAAACACATGTACCAGAAGATAATTCTATTTTTCTGTCGAATGTAACTTCACTTTATACGGCATTGAATGTAATTGGATCGAAAGCCAAATATTTATTATCTGAATTAAATGATGAAAATTTTAATGGTTTTGCAAGAATGAATTGGCTGATGATGATGAAAGAGAAGAATAAAAATAGTAAATGAGTGATAATTAATGTCGTTATTAATATGCTTTATATTCCATCAGAAGCAAATATATTTTATACTTGTTGTTAATTATTTTTCTTTTCTAGTATGTTTTATGTGTATACAATATGTTAACGGAACAAGGTAAAGAATATAAAATAATCAATGGTGAATAATATTGATAAATTCTTATTTATATATATTAGTTTAGATATTTTACTCAACGAACTCTTCGAATTGAACGTATGTGGCCATCTTGGGGACATTATATTTATAAGAAAACAACACCATTTCATTTAAATCGAGAATATCATATATCATTTGGTGTAAAAATAAAATTTAATCAAGTAAAGTTTGTTATTCTACATATAAATACAATTTTAGAAAAACTTTATTGGTAAAGAAGCTTTATTAAACTACGATAAGATGGTATACAAAAAACGATTTATTCAATTTCTTCTTGAAGATCACAATCTTGATTCAGATCCATGGTTATTGAAATACTAAGTGGCGAACCTATTTATCGTAATGGTGAATTTTGTGGATTTTTTACTTCTACAACATATGGTTTTACACTTAGAAAACAAGTATAAAATATGAAAAAATAATCTGTCATTTTCATATATATTTTTTTTTATCGGTCTGTTAAGGATTTGTTCATGCACCTTCTTCAAAAAAGATCACAGTCAATTATATTCGTGTAGCTACATACGAAATTAATATAGCAACTAAACGATTTAAAGCACGTCCAAATGTCTATCAACCAACTGAAATGGGTCCTTCAGTTCTACTATATGTACAAATACAAATTAATTTTTTAATAATATACTTCGTCAAATCTCAACGAACAGTCAATATGTATCAATACGTTAAAATCTTTTTTTTTCTAATTTTTTTTCCGTTAAAAACATTTGTAGAATGCATGTTTTTAATATTTATTTATGTTTAATGAAAATAAAAATTAATTTGCATATCTTATTACTGAATAACTATGAATATTTATGGATTATCTTTTTAAAACATCTTCAGTTAATTTTTCGTAAATCACAATCGAAATTATTAAAAAAAACTACGTTATTATTTATTTACTTTTCATTTTTTTCTTACTGCTATTATTTATTCTTTTCATTAATAAACAATCGTAAATTTATGTTCAATTCACTAGTTAGAAAAAGAGTTACTTTCTTTGAGTCATTGTATGTGAAATAAAAAATAAACTACGTATGTCTTTATCCACTTGTACATACTCAAAAACCCCTCTCTTTGAGTCACTATATACGAACTGAAAAATAAAGTGCGTATGGCTATAAAACTATTGTGCATACTCAACAATCCCTATTTTTGAGTCATTATATACGAACTAAAAAATAAATTGCGTATGTCCATATACACCTATACATATAAAAAAAAGCACTCTCTCTGCGTCACTATATACGAACGAAAAAAATAAAGTGCGTATGTCTATATATTCACGGTGCATACTCAACAATCCCTCTCTCTGCGTCACCGTATAGGAGTTAAAAATAATCTGCCGACGTCTTTATCTAACTGTATATACTCAAAAATCCCTTTCATTGCGTCATTGTATACGAGCCAAAAATAATCTTTATCCCTCTCTACAGCCAGATATGATACTCTCTCTTTATCTCTCTCTCTCCGACGACGAAAAAAAAACTTTTTTCGTAGGTTGTCTTTGCTTGACGATCGGCGTATATAAAGCCGAACTCAATCCTTATAATTCACACAACGATATTTATCTCTTATTCTCATTCAACTTCCAACAAAAAGATACTATTATGAATAAAATGGTTAAAATGGTTGCATGTATCATTATTCTAATGGCAGTATTTTGCATGATACACGGTGCGACAATTCAACGTCGTGCTGAAAATGGTGGTCTTCGTCATTTACTCGAAAAACGT